CACAAACACATCGGAGTTCCTACCGACAACTACGGCTGCCCTTAACTTGTGTTCCAGCCTGGCGTCGTGCTGACTCTCGGGTGGCGGTGTTACCTTGTAGAAAAGAATTTCTGGAATGGGTTCTGCTTCTCAAGCTGGCCCTTGATTCTACAACACCGTCCTCTTCCACAATTGTGTCCATTTTCTCGATGGATTGTCGGATTTTCTTCCCCTTTCGCGGCCTCCATAATTTGGAGCCCTTCTTTTTCCCCTTAGGCGTCTTAGCTGTTATTGTTTTTCCACCTGTTGTTACGTTTCCCCCTGAATCTGAACTCGAGGTTTCTGTGGAACTGTCAGTCTCGTCTTTCTCTTCCACCTTTGAACCTGATGATGTTGATGTGTCGTTCTGTGAACTGTGGTTCGTGTCGGGGTCGTGTCGAAGTTCCCGTCCGAATTTCTGTCCAAACAGTTCAGGCAGGACGGTGTCCCTTCCTCTATGTGACGGGCTTATCTCTCTGCCCGAGGGCGAGTAACTATACGAACAGTCCTCGCCGTCGTGTGCTTTCCTTCTAAACTCGTCGGTTCTTTTCCTAGGAGACGACGGGAGAAGTCTACCGTATGGACCATGAGGAGAAAGCGACGCGGTGTTTCCGCCTACCAAGTCGTAGGTATTCACAACACTCAGACCCGTATCACTTTCCACCGGGCGCGCCGGTTGACTACGTACAGCCGACCCCCTACTGTCCGCGCCAGATAACAGACTCACCGGCACTTCCACCTGTCCGAGGGGCCGGGACGGGGCGTTACCGCCAGGTGCGGGGAGGGAACTCAGGCGGAGTCTTCTCGTCTTCTCTCCGCCCGGAGTCTGCTTCTCTCCCGACCACCTCGCCTCGTTGATCGTCTTCATGCGCTGCGAGTAGGCCACCATGGACTTCTCCAGGTCCCGCTGCGTGCCGCTGATTCGGTTCATCTTCTTCTTGAGCTGCCGTCGGTAGAAGTCGACCTTCTTCTCGTACGAGTCCTTTTCTCTCGACATCGCGTTCTCCGCCTGGCGCTTCAGCTCGCTGTACGTCCTACCGTAGGACGCTGCTGACGCGGTCATGTCACAGGCACCGCCGCTCGCCATTTTCTGCACGAGTTTACCCATCCCCGGGGTGACGCTGATGATGTCTCCCGCCACAGTTTGCGTTACTGTGGACAGACCTGTCAGCACGTCACACAGTCCGGGCGAGCATGGGCGTGCTGGCAGGCGGACGACGTTGTCCCGGGAACAATATAGCTCCGCGAGTCACGTACTGGACCGGTGACTCCCGCAACGATATCAAGGTACGCGGCCTGTCTCACACCGGGCCTTATCCTCACAGAAAAGCGTCGTGTGTGAGAAAACGTCGTCATCAAGTATGCGACAGTCACAAATAACAAACGTGTCACGTTCCGACCTCATGCCATGCCATTATGCAAATAAGGTGGTGTAATGGCTATAAACGAGGTCCACCACCTTGCGGAAATGCCGGGGAAACAATGTCGTCCCTGACGGCTTCAAATCCCACTCTTGTGTGCCCCTGACGATACTGCAGTCATTGCTCCCCCGGCTGGTCTGATCAGCGGAAAGCCAACACGCTGTTTAAACAAGATGTAGTGTTTACAAAACTCCGCACCACCCTCTGGCCTGCAACCTTGCCATTCATGCCTATACCGACGCCGTGTTGACACGCACTGAAGTCGAATAAAACTTGAAACAAAAGTCAACTTGTTTTCGTCCCAGCCAACGAAACGTCCGCTACACAAGAGAGGAGGGAAGGGGGGTCGACAGGATTAATTAGAGCTCAGTTAAGTACAGAAAACCAGTATTTTCTGAGTATTAGTCTACTGCCCTCGGTCAAATTCCATCTTTAATGGCATGATAAAATGCGCCTTAACGTCAAAAACGATTCCGTCTCTTGGATTTTGAGGAACTTAAAGTAATGAGCACGTTCTTTGTGATTTTCTAATTTTGATCAAATAGAAGGGCTGCGAACGGATCAATAAGACAAACATCTGCCCACAGAGGTCAGCACTGGTTACTTTAATGGTCGGACTTTAATGCCGGCCTGGAGAGTGGCTGTGGAGTGTTTGAACACACTGTCCACAAAGGAGGCTCATATTAACCTGAAGCCGAGAGCAGTATTTGATGAAGTCCGTTCGGGCTTCTGAAGTTTTAGTATTTATCCAGATGTACATGTGTATTCATCTTCTTGGGGACCATTATTATACCATTCAGAAGCTTCAGAAGCGGCTGGAAAGATTACAGACCTAGAAAAAGGAAACGTAAGTCTCAATAGAAAGGAGGATGCCGTTATCAATCCGTAATTATTTTATCGGTGTATTCCGGACTTAAAACTTTCGAGTCACTTTCGCTCAGAGACGTTGCCAAAATGTCCTTTAACAATGTCAGGGCTACTTTAATCAAGAACAAGTGAAAATTGTATTTCAACCGGCTCATTGTTGACAATCTCCTACCGCGAATTAACGATACAGAAGGACGTCTTAAGTTTCATATCCATAATATCACAACAATGACGTCCGGGCCTGGCGATCAGACGGCGTTGTTGTGCCCTAGACACAAGTCCCGGATGTAGTTACACGGCCATGATGACTGCCGGTAACCAAAGATCGGCTCTGTTTGTTTGGAGTTTTATGGACGGTAACGTTGTTTGCGCGGGTACAATTATGAGGTCCTTTTGTGGTATTTGCTCCTTTTTGACGACGTTATAATGAGGGGAAAACGACCGGCCAAACACAAGTAACAACGCTATTAACCTGTCTACTGACTGAATGGCACAGGAGCAGGGTGGGAGAAGAGCGAGAATTAACATTGCATCTTTTGAGCGACTTTTCCCCCTCCTAATGGGCTAAACGCATTCAGGTTAATCCTTCCCATCCCACGGGTAATGCCGCTGGCAACGTTGTGTGTAAACTGTATTGAGTCCCTGGATAAGCAGGCCTAGCAATTGAACGTGGCATGTTACAGACAGGAATAGTAGTGAACGATTTGCCCATGAAAAGCTGTCCTTGGTACGAAGAGTGGTCGTCCTTAATGTAACTGGGGCGAGCGACCTCTTGCGGCAGCTTTACAAACTACATTTTCGCCGTAGGCTGAAAGGAAATGGCAGTTGAATATGCACAGAATCAGCGAGAAATTCCAATAATGGAAAATGTTTTCTATTATCAGACGGACCTCATGAAGCGTATGCTATGATAAAGCAAGGATTTTGACCTCCTTGTATGTGAAAGAATGTGAAATAATGACATTATTGCTATGAGCCTATGCCAATTTTTTGCTCCCAGCATATCATGTAACTGTTACATGTATTTTTGTAATAGAACCAGACTACAAAATAAGAAAATAAGACAAAATCAGAAGTGTCTTCTCAAACTTTTGTGGATTTTGTCCTTAAATCATACTTTCATATAAATAGAAATATTACTGTAACATTATTCATTATTTTCACATAAGTATCTCATTCAGTATTCTCTACAACAGTCCGTTCCAATCACACAAATATTAGATTAGTGCATGAAAGGCACCAATTTTCTAACATCATTATTAATTTGTTGTCCATGTGGATAGCAAACCTATATTCTTCAACTTCAGCATGATCATTGACATTGTGCTATTGGTTGGGTGGACAACTATTACTAGACTAAGTACTCTCCCTCTCTCTTCAAGCAGGATTGATGGGAAATAGGGTGCAGGGAATTCAGTTTCTGTCCTAGTCTCCATTTAAGTGCATCATACAATTTCCTTGATTGTTCCAATGAATTCAGGAAAATGAAAATATTTCCACAATGTCTGAAATCTCTGATTTCTTCTTGCATCTGTAGAGATCTCCCAAACTGCTATAGTATTTCACCCACAACACATTGTGTTTGCAACATAATGACATCATCAGTCATGTCACGTTGTAGGACTTGGCTGGTCTGTGTTGATGGAGTTGTTGGCTTCTGTTCTTTCGACCTGAAGTCTCTTGTAGACTGGCTTCAGTCCAAGTAACAATGTGACAGAGGCAACTGTCATCCAGCCAGCAAAAACAAGCATCATCACTGTGGAATTAAACAGAGCAAAGGATGAGGTTCCATGACCCCAAATATTTGCCAAGGTTAAGCAATGATCTTCACAATGACCTCGGGCAACTGAAACTGTAGGTTTTGTGAAATTACTTCATAAGCCCATAATTCATGGATGTGGTTATCTGATGTGGCTACCTTTAAAATCCCGTGGCACGACTTTTCCGCAGTGGGCATGACTTGTCTGACTGGGAGGCAGTGGGGGAGGGATGTACTTAGCCATGAAAGTCAGGATGATGGCCTGTAAGTTTCTGTAACAAAAACACTTGTTTCTTGTAACACCAAGTTTATGTTACACATGATCATGTTCCTCAAATATCAAATATCATGCAATTAACAAATTATGCACTACTGGTATGCAGACCATCATATTTATGTTATTTCAAGGTTTCAGATAAACTTTGCACTAATGACTTCCCCTTACCCGCACACGATGAGCAGACCTGAGCTGGTCGCAGCTGATACTGGATAAGTTATTTCCACAGACAGTTCCAAGGCAGTCGGGTACATGGCAAAGGCAGTGACTCCAAACACACTCGCACTGATGGCCAAAGGTACCTCTACTCCAGGATAATTGCTTAACTGTAGAAAAGTCCACAATATTCATGTTACTAGTATTTTATTGCATTACCTACAGTACGTATTTAGAAAATGTAGTCATAACCAACTGCAATGGAAGCAGTATATAATGACAACTATCCCTCTATCTTCTTGGACAATACAAACAAGTAACTACGACACACACTCCATATCAGCAAGATAAAAGACACAACAATACTACTATCTGCAAGTTGGTGATTCCCTTCAAATCACCTGGATGGAGGCCTGGTGAACTTCTGCTTCCTATTAGCCACACATGATTTACTTCATCGCCAAGATTCTAGGAAGAACAGTGTGAATTGGCATGGAGATCCTAACCAACCAACCAAACCAAGCCAAACAACATACCACTGCAAAAGCTATCAGGGCCAATGTCCCAATAGCGGCTGACAACTTGATTATCTCCTCAAACCGTTTGGTCCTGTCTAAGAGAACTCCTGCTGCTCCAGCTCCAACCATGCCCAGCAGGACCATCAGGGCAGCACAGATACCAGCAAAGGTCTGGGGGAAAACAATATTGGCCAGAAATAAAAATCATAATTTGTTTTCAATTGAAGAAGACATGTATCAACTGATATTCAACATTTAACTGTAAATTTGGAGTATGACAACAATTGACAATGTAGCTGAGTCACAGACATTAGTTAACCTTCCGCATTGTATTGAGGTTAAGCCATTTGGCACCAAATGTGTAAAGGTTATTGGGTTAAGCAGCAGGGAGAAGGTTAACAAATTGAAAGACAACCAGACGTACGTCAGTATACCCTCGTGGACAAAACACCTGCTCGATGACAGAAACAAAAGTCTGAAAAGTCCCCATCCCAGCACCAAATGTCAACATCAGGATCCAGTACTGCACATCCCTGCAAAGCTTTTAAGCAAAAACAAACACAATGTAATTAGTAGTAGAAAACATAGCATGCTTTTACTTCTGTAAAAGATAAGCAAATCACATTAAAAAAATTATTTTGCAAACTTACTAAAAGCAAATATCAGGAAAGCAGACAAAATACTGGTTTTCCTCTACAAGGAATTGTAAACGAAATGCCTGTGAATGTTTTGCACATAGGTTTCCTTGAATATCATTAATGACAACATAATTATAGTATAATTGTTCTTAGTGTTACCATTTTCAGGCCTTGTAAGAAAGGCTGTGTGCCCTTGGCAGCACTGATAGATGGAGGGCTAGGCGGGCTGCTGCTGCAGATTCCAAATGTTGCCATGAGGACAGTCAAACAGGGTATAACAGTATAGAGAGACACCTGGAGGAAGCAGGAGGAATTGCAGTGAGATGCCAATGCAAAAGGGTATGAAAACTCTTATACGACACATACATGATGTAAGTATCATTTGATAATCACACATCACCATATAGACAACATCAATTATGTAACTATTCATGTAGTTTTCATAAACTTAAAAAAAAACAATTACTATCACACATATATATGTTCCAATCTGCTTTACAGCATCTACTGCAATGACATGCACTCCATGACATTGGAGAATAAAGAAATAAAGAAAGCACACACAGCAAGATAAAAGCAAAAAAAATTGCTCTATAATCTTAGTATCATGAAATGAATCAGTAATGTCGGAAAAAAAGTAACATCAACTCTCATATTAGTCATAAGCTCACAGGGTACCCCAAGACTACCACATACAATAAAATACATCTACTGATTAAAGCAGCATCTGTAATTCCTACACGTATGCACACGTCAGATATATAGATGATGAAGACAATTTCCTGAGAACGCCTTGATACTTTTGTAGTCTTAAGGTACCCAGCTGAATTATCAGAGTTGACATCACACCTCAATAATTCTTCTTGCTCACCAGAAGCTGCAGACTATGTCTGTCACCTGGTCTGGCCACCTGAGGGCCAACAAGGTTGGACACAATCGCTCCAATCGGGCTGCCTGTGTTACAACAAGAAGAAGTGTTGACGATGTTTCTCGCAATGTGATGAAATCAAATCAAATGCCACCAGCAACCATGGTGACTGCCAGCTGGGTGTCTCATCCAGCTCATTGACCTCATTTGTTTGGAACAGAGAATAAGAAATAACCAATCAAAAACAAACAAAAAGCGAGTTTGCCCCCAATGACTGACCCATGGATATGATCATGTTGGCCGTTGCTCTCTGGTTGTCTGCGAACCATGTCGCTGCCACCTTAGCCGGGCTCTGTCTGAGGAGAGGCTGGGCTGTGGCTGCAACCACCTGTCCAGCTACGACCAGAACAAACCGGTAGGAGGGAGGGATGTCATGTAACGTGCTGATGGCGGTAATGCCCGCACCAGCAGCCTGGATCCATGCTCCAAGGATGATCTGAAATAAAGGATCTTATCACTGCCAGGTATTAAAAAGGAAGTATTGTTTTGGGTGGCTGAACTGTGGGTTTGTTTCTCCAGACAAAGTAAGTTCACAGCAGATGGGTGGGGAAAGTTGACAGGCAAAATGACAGGTAAAAGGTTTGGCAGCATCTGCTATTGCTGTGACTGATTCCATACCAAGATACAATGTAAAAACAACTTACGCCAGCCCTGAGCCCGATCACGTCCAGTACCCAGGTGGCAGCGAACCCGAGCGGCACGGCTGTCAGGAGGAACGCCAGGGACAGCCAGTTCACCTCACTCAGTTCCACACCATAGAACTGTGCTGTGGTGTCCGCTACTGGCTGGAACCAACTCTGGGCAGGGTGGGGAAGGTTATGGTAATTATCAAGCTACATAGTACTAACGTTATATGACTGGTACAATGACGGCATTCCTTCACCAAGCAATGTCCAGGAATACCTCCTTGCTAATAACTATAATGTTATAGACCCCGTTCATACCAGACTTTAAAAAATTACCAGACTTTTAAATAAAGTAAATATATAAGGGACAAAAAAATCTTATATTCACTCTGGGTCAAAAAATTCTTATATCCACTCCAGGAGTGGATAAAAAATTCTTGTATCCACTCCGGGAGTGTTAATAGCTACGTTCTAAACTTATTGTTTAAAATTAAATGACCAATATCCTTTGTTTCACCAAGGACATTATACATGTGTATAATGTCCTTGGTACAATGTATTATTATTCAGTCTATTTGGCCAATTTCTACTTCATGTATTTTCCATTGTCTGAGTAGTACTACTTTAGTAGTACTTACCGCTAAAGCTCCATTGGAAATGTTGAGGAGAGTGATGACAGTCAGTATGTACCATCTCCACCGGTACACCCTGATCTCGCCGTCCGTACCGCCGCCGGTGGGCAGCAGCGGCCTGCCTGCTGAACTCTCCATTCTTGTTTTTCTATCCTCTTCTGGCCTAGTTGAAATCAAAGTCCATTTTTGGGCGCGTTTTGTTTGCCAAACCAAGCAAGTATTATGCACAATGCTAATGAAATACTCTCGAGTGAATTGGTAGAGCTTCCTTGTGAAAAAGACAGCTTCAATTTAATAGAAAGCACGAAATTTCTTTTAAAGTATTAAACTGCAGAACCAAAAGTTTCTGGGATGCTCATCGTCACGTGGTGAACTCTGACGTTTGAACGCTGGGGTCATTGACCTGTAGGTTGCTAAACCGGTCAGAAGCGGATGGGACGAGGCTTGGTGTACGGGAGGTGTGGAGCGTGGGTATCGAGTCACAAAATGTTAATGATATACGACAGGGGTATTAAATAAGGTGTTTTGCCTTTTGGCCATTTTTCCTAAGCACCAATTTGGGCGCCAAATTAGGGGATTGTCCTCTATGCACAGCTTTTTTCAAAAAGCTCAATATTTTATATTTCAATTCGAACGCAAACGATATGCAAATGCAATGAGGATGAATAAATGTTTTATATCAACTCCGAGAGTGTCAATAGCCACGGCGCACGTTGGCCACGGCGAGCCACGGCGTAAATATTTTGCATGACGTCATCAGAGGTTGAAGTCAGTCGAACTGTCATGGCGGCGCCTACAGCTATCGTTATGCATGGGGGAAAGCACTGTGTAGCAGGAGGACCAAATGGAGCTAGCTGCAAAAATAGCAACTTCACCGAAGGTGTATCTATGCACAAGTTCCCTCAAGTGAAGAATATCGGAACTGGGGCAGACAAAGAAAAGGAGAAAACAAGAAGTTTGTGGATCCAGTTTGTAAAAAGGCACCGGCGTGATTTTGAAGTTTCCGCGACATCAGTCTTGTGCTCCGCACACTTTGAGCCCTCATGCTTCACCCAAGATTTGGAGATTGCGGGGATCTGTGGAATAAAGAGAAAACTGACATCAGGAGCAGTTCCAACCATAGACATCGCTGGCCTGCCGAAGCAAACTGCCCCTGCTACAACTGATTGGGAGCGACGACGGGTGAGTTCTTCTTTCCATAGGCGACCGCCTTCGACTTGCCGAAGATGTCGCCGTGTCAGGTATACTGCGCAAGGGGGGTGAATGTACTGCTGAGGAAGTGGAGGTTTCAGGGGGTTACAATTTGGACTTAAAGCCCTCTAAGTTGTTACTGAGGGCAGTGTCAGCCGGCAAGCTATTCCATTCGGCATTCCCTGATTGTACGTGGGAAAAAGGATCTCTCAGTCTCTCTATAGAGAGTCCTACATCTGAGCAGCTGATATGCTGCAGAGTGGTTGAGTCGTGTCGGTTTTGAACAGCTGGGGGTGGGTTTTGAACAGCAGTTAATAATCAGTGAGCCATTGTGGTACTTGTAGAAGTTTATCAGCCTTGAAGTGAGGTCCACTGAAGGTCGCATAGCATGAGTTTAACAACAGTTCAGTCACGTCACGAACATGGTAGAAATACTAGCATTCCAAGCGCACATAAAATTTCTATAACATACAACTTATAGCCTGGGTGCCAGACACATGGGTAGCCCCTCTGTTCCAGGGCCAGAACCAAGTATTGTTTTGAAATTCATAACTCTATCTTTTGACAGCTGATGTATAATTAGTGATATATAATATATATGCATTATTAATACTTACTAGTAATCGACATGATGTAAACACTTAAGTTGCATTATGTTATTTGCATGAAAATAACTTCCAGGAATTGTTTCAGCTCATTAGAGAGTTACTCCAGCCAGCGACTCAGGAGCAGACTGGACAAAGCAGGACTCAGGACATACGACTGACAGTTAAGGAAGAAGATCACCAAGAGAAAAACCTTGGCCACGGTGGTACAGCTGCCAATCATGTCAAAAAGGAGCCGTTAGATGAACTTGAGGAGGACTTAGTTAATTGTTGCAACAAGACTGCACAACTGTTGGGTGATAAGTGTGGTACAGCTGGTACAGACGCTGTCGTGGAAAATGAACAATCAATGGATTTTGACAACTGTCACAACACCGGTACATCATCTCAGCAGAGTTGTACAGTTGGCACTGTGGAAGAGCAACAAGAGACAAACCCTGGAATGAGTTACAACCAGATTGTTGGCACTGTGGAAGGTGAACTAGAGGTGAACTCTGGGAACTGTTACAACACCAATACACCATCTCAGTTGAGATGTAGTATAGGACCTGGTGGCATTCAGGTTAAGAAGGAAGGTGGCCAAGAGATGAATTTTGGTAGCTGTTACAACACTGTAACAGTTACATCCCAGCTGAGTTCTAGTACAGTTGTTACATCTCAGCCGAGTTCTAGTACTTTTGTTACATCTCAGCCAGGTTCTAGCCCAGTTGTTACGTCACAGCCAAGTTGTAGTACAGTTGTTACAACTCAGCTGAGTTCTACTACAGTTACACCTCAGCTGAGTTCTAGTTCTGTTGTTACATCTCAGCCGAGTTCTAGTACTTTTGTTACATCTCAGCCAGGTTCTAGCCCAGTTGTTACGTCACAGCCAAGTTGTAGTACAGTTGTTACAACTCAGCTGAGTTCTAGTACAGTTACACCTCAGCTGAGTTCTACTTCTAGTTCTGTTGTTACATCTCAACCAGGTTCTAGTCCAGTTGTTACATCACAGCCGAGTTCTAGAACAGTTGTTACACCTCAGCTGAGTTCTAGTGCAGTTTTGATACCTCAGTTGAGTTCTAGAATAGTCATTATACCTCAGCTGAGTTCTAGTACAGTTTTTATACCTCAGCTGAGTTCTAGTACAGTTTTTATACCTCAACTGAGTTCTAGTACAGTCATTATACCTCAACTGAGTTCTAGTACAATTATACCTCAGCTGAGTTCTAGTACAGTTGTTACACCTCAGTTGAGGTCTAGTAGAGTTGTTACACCTCAGCTGAGTTCTAGTACAGTTGTTACATCTCAGTTGAGTTCTAGTACAGTTGTTACACCCCAGCTGAGTTCTAGTACAGTTGTTATGCCTCAGCCAAGTTCTAGTACAGTTGTTATGCCTCAGCCAAGTTTTAGTACAGTTGTTATGCCTCAGCCAAGTTTTAGTACAGTTGTTACACCTCAACTGAGTTTTAGTACAGTTGTTACACCACAGCCAAGTTCTAGTACAGTTGTTACACCCCAGCTGAGTTCTAGTACAGTTGGTGACAGTGTTAAACTGGAAAGTGTGCAAAAGGTGGATCTTAGTAACTGTTACACCACCAGTACATCATCTCAGTTGTGTTCTGACATGGTTGGCATTACACAAAAACACAACAGTGAGACAAACATTGGCAGCAGTACACCAGATCAGCAGTCTTTGAACACCAACCGGAGCAAAGTTGAGGAAACACCCAGATTTGACTTGACCTATCCTTTGGTCCAATCTTACTGTGCATACTGGCCTCCAGGTGCAATCAAACGTGCTATGAAGGAAGCAGCCGAGATTTCTCAAGCTTGTGTCGATCCTGCAAAATCAAGATGGCATGTGCATTCATATGAAATGGAGGAATGTGTACCAGAACAGGTAGATTACATGGGGACTGGCCATGCAGCATCAGACAACAATCAAGATTCAAATTATGCAGCAGTGAATCCTGGGCTACCAAAACCTAAACAGCTCATAAGACAAGTGTTGGAACTAAGAAAAGAAGACAGTTTGGAGATGGACAATGGTAATTCTAATGTCACCGATAGTACATCTCCTCAGCTCATGGATGAACTTACAGATGGCGAGGACAATCTCAGTGACATTAGCAACATCACTGATATATTGAAAGATGTGTTAGAAGATGGAAATGACTCTGAAGAAAGTGACAAAGAAGTTTCATCCTCAGTGTCAGAAAACGAGAAAAAGGGTCACAAAAGTGACAGTTCGCGTCACATGTCTTCCGAAGAAGAGGAACTATCTGGTGATGACAGTGATGATTCTGTGTCCTCTAGCGGCAGCGACTGGTTAGAAGAGATACAACGTCAAAACCAACTTAGAAGGAAAAGACAAAGACAAAGAAACAAGGGCAAAAAGAAGACATCATGGGTGTGCAAGTGTCAGGAAAAGTTTACTGGTAAAAGATCATATGAAGAACACAAGCGCGAGGCCCATCCAGTAACATGTGTCTACTGTGAAGAAAAGTTTACTTCAACACAAGCACTTCGGAAACATCAGAAGACACACATGTCAAGTGAAGACAAACTGGACTTGAAAGGTAACAAACTCTTCATGTGTGACCATTGCGGACTGTTCTTCACTAGCACGAAATTGAAGAGGCACGAGCTTCAAATCAGCACTGCAAGACCATACAAATGCGAGGTGGAAAACTGCAAGGCTACTTATAAAACAAAGAGTGCTGTGAGATGTCACTTCATTACTGTCCACAACAGAGATCGTTTCCCCTGCCCTTATGAGGGTTGTAAGAAAACATATGGTGACAAGTCAAGAATGATGAAACATTACAAAGTGCACACAAATGAACGCAGGTACCAGTGTTCATACTGCGGTAAGATGTTCCAGAGGGGAGAACACCTGAGGGTGCACACAAGGATTCACACGGGTGACACACCGTTTAACTGTACTCTGTGCAACTACAGTGGACGGCAGTACAACTCTCTCAGGTCTCACATGAAAGTCCACCATCCTGAACACTGTGTAAAGTCAGGCGATGAGAAAGGTATAAAACCAAGTAAGAAACCAAGGAAGAAAGCAGTGATTAACAAGGATAGTTTGGCAGACAAAGGTCCAGGAAGTGCTAAAAAGACTACACCTTATTCTACACGATCTCAGTTTTACAGGGCAAAGTAAAAACAATTTGATTATGAACAACTAGAGCTGTGTACCGGTACGCAGTACCGATACTGTACCGGAAAAATTGATTAGGTACAGGTCCAAAATACCTAATCCCTCAGTACCGGTACTGTACCTAAACAATTTCACACCAATTTTATGCCTATTTGTGACCTCAAATGTGTAAATAGCTGGTTAACAATGGGTCCCTGGGTGTTCATGAAAACAAAAACATCTTTACTTTTACCTATATTTTATCTGAACATTCTCCATAAACAAAAATTAAACCTATATCAATGTTTTTCTAGTTATTACAGGAGTTCAGAAGAGCATATACATTGGTCGAATTGTTCAGGTACAGGTTCAGGTCCGGACCTGTACCTAAACCTGTGTACCTGTACCTGTACCTGTACCTAAAATTTGTTTAGGTACACAGCTCTATGAACAACAGATACAGATGTCTGTAGCTAGTTCATAATACAATATGAATACATGTATGTGAAGTTGTTGGAAGAGTAATTGACTACAGCAACCTCTTTGTTGTTAGAACAGTTACTGTTTTTGTTGACAAAGTTAGTGATACTTTCTCAGGGATACCATGATTTTTCAGGGAAAAGTAACTTTTATATAGTACATGTACTTGAACTGTTTAAGGTGCCTGTTTGTGGAAGGTGTAAATGGGGAAAACAACTTCCCTGTTGAGAAGTATGCAGCTTACTTATTGACAATGCCTAAAGGGGGGTTGTGACTGTGAAATCACTTATTTATACATTTGTGTAAAGACAAGGTGAATGGTTCACATAGTTGTCAATAAATGTACCTTTATTTCATCAAGGTATACATCAAACATACTCTTGTCACATCATAAAATATTCAGGTAATAAAAATTTGTTTCAGTGGGACTGGATGTTTTTTTATTTATATCAGTTTTACAACTTTGCTGTACCTCGCTAACAATGAATCTTGGTGAGAGGTTTGGTTGCCATAGAAAAAGTTTCTAATAATTAGCCATCAGTGTTTAATACAGATCTGTCAAGTACATTCACATCTGTAGAAGTGGCCACCTCTATATAACGACCGTCTGGCACTTTGATATACAGTGAGTCCACCTTGTACAACTGGCGACCTCTATATACATATACATGAAAGGACGAACTGGCCAATGACCGTTAGATGGCTTTTTCCATTGACAAAAACAACAATATACATGTATAGTGACCATCTGTCTGCATGCACCAGCTTTTATCGCAATATCAGTCACCCGAGTGGTCTTTGGGAGTTTGGACTGTTCTAGTACTTGTGTTGTTGGATCGTAGCCAGGACGTCTTCTCTGGTAAAACAGTCCTTGGTGTGGCGAGGCAAGTCATTCTGCAGGCATTCGTCACTGCAGTACCGGGCAAATCCGCATCTAAAGGGCAACGTAACAGGGAAAGCTGTTCAATCTATTTACAGTATCAAGAGAAAGAAAGTTGCCACACCAGATAGCAGACAAAATCAGAGTGGACATAAATCCCGAGTTGTACCGACCTCTCGCATCTTCTGAACGGCCGTCCCGCTTCCTCGTTCCTCCAACATCGGCGAGCTGAACACGTGATTGGCCAGGATGGGCAGGCCTCCGTGACGTCATCCAGGTTCTCTGACATGAGGCAGTCGTGGTGTCCGTGTCTCATCAGGAACCTGTCCTCACGTGACTTCTGCCTGAAGACGTCCACAGAGCCCGGCTGAAGTAAGGCCTTCGCCAGTAGGTCCGCGTGTTTCCGCAAACACAGGGTGAACGCGCAGTTCTCCCAGCTATCTGTGAAACGGTGATGTAATAGAGCATGTCAGCAGAACGTACTGCACCTGGGGTAAAACCCGAAATGTATTGTGCACGGCACTCTGACAGTGGATGTGGTTCTCTCGTCGTCTCGACGAGCGCCTCTTTTATGCACCCTCATTGTGTGAACTTTGGCAGTACGTCTCTGTTTAAGATCGTATTTGCGTACTCAATGGTTAGCATTGCCTGTGAAACGCGATGCTATTAACCACCAACATGCTCGCCTGGTATTCAAATCATTATCATTATGGCGTCAATGACAAACCTAGTGTGTCAATTTGTTTTTCATACATCAGCTGTATTTGGTGCTTTCAAAACTAACGTTCAACATCTCCTAGCATAATCGCCTATACCTCCCACCAACGTAGAGATGTAAAAATTGGCCTCACCTCCCCTCCATACCAACAATTTGGACTGGACAATGACTGGACAATTTGTACTTTTTGTTATCATTATTTATTAATGTTATTGGTTGGTTACTGTTTTTTCTTTATTATTATTGCCTTTATCATTATTTATTGTATCCCAATCTTACTGTTTGTATGTTACTGTTGTGTTTTGTGTAAAACAGGGCCCCATTGAAAAGAAGTGCAATGACTTAATGGGCCACCCTGTATAAAAATGACGGAAAAGAAATAAAATAAATGAATAGTTCAGTGCCCGATAGTTGTCCTCTGACCTTGCATTGAGCAGGCTCGATAAAAAAGACAAGCAATCCCACCTGTGATCAGTAGAAGTTTCTCCGCGGCTGTCAGCAGACCCTGGTTCCTGAGGGTCCCGGCGCACCGCTCGCCTCCCATCTCTGCGATGTACAGGCAGATCATGACAACCGTCCACATGGTAGGGAGGAGACCGCTGTGCATCAGGCCGATCAAGGACTGTGTCAGCTGCTGGCCCTTGTCCTGAATCAGGGCTGGCAGTTTCTCCGGGCTGATCGTCATGACGGCGTTCTTCACGCACAGGAGAAGCAGACTGTAGTAACAAAGTTCGTCGTACTCTTCGTCAGATGGTGAATACATTTTACCAGTTGCGGCACCTTCATGTTCCTCTGTTTCGTTTATACAGACTTCGCACATGGCGGGGTGGCCCTCTCCGCTGAGGGTCTTCTCCCTGATTTCCGCCCCTGCTGCCTCCAGCATTAAGATTTCGAGTGAAGGCAGAATGTCGGGGACGAATTCCGCTACCTTGAGCGCTGTAGGCTCGTAGTACGTCATGAGGTATATCAACTCACTGATGTCAATATTGTCTAGCTTAGGGAAGCATTTAGGATGAATACACGGTCTCTGCTGGTGTTTGGGACTGGCAGTTACACTGAGAAGTTGAGTCAGAAGACTCCGTAGTATCCCTTCGGAGAAAGACATGAACAGCTTGGCTTGGTACTTGGTTGGAAGGAATAGTATGCCGCACTCTTCGCTGTTCGTGTCACCACTGCAATCGCTATCACTACAGTCGCTCTCGTCGTCAGTTGTATCACCAGGGCATGTCTTAAGACCCTGCCTGTTCCCCACCTGATCTTGGCCTTCATCATCTCCTGTTTTCCTTTTGGCGTCCTCTTTTCCACTTTCTTTTTGTTGGACATTCAAACGTTCCTCCGTGGTGGCACCTGCAGCTGGAAGAGTGGTACCTTGTCTGCTGGAGATGAAGGCCTTGATCAACAGTTCTGAAACTCCGTAAATCTTATCCATACAGTCTTGGCACATACAGTCATCCCTCTCATCGTCGTGCTGCAACGGGACAGATGGAACTTTGTCGCTTCTTGGTGTCACGGATACTGCTGATTCCTCCTCTGTCGTTGCAGCACTTGAAAAGGCACACGCCATATTTAAGTCTACACTTCTAACCGGGGTTGACAGAACGCCGATGAGAAAGCACTGGTCGTAGCCAAATTCACACTAGGACTGAGACTGGGAGAGAAGCCCAAGTTTCCGTGGGAATCATTCATATTCTGACATGTTCGCCACACGGACGGGCATATGTCGACTTGGTAACCAAGGTAGCGGCGCGCACAACACAGTGGTAACATGTGGGTACGTGCTCATCACATTCCAGAGATAGAGGCCTGGCACAGGTTCAAGCAACAGTTCACCGGTGCAGTTCACTAGCCACCAAAAACGGTCGGGCTTACAACGGTCCCAAACGTTTTTCGGCCCGAATCATGTTCGATCTTATGTTATTCGTACTCGTAGTACGTGTTCCATTTTGGGGTCAAAATTATTTGTATGGAGTATCAAAGTTACGTGGCCATCAGGCATATCTTAGCATGCGGGGTTAACATTATTTGTGACACAAATGAAAATAGCACTCAATGCAATGTAATATTTCTTTATTCTAGCCTGGTTATACAGACTGAACGATAATTCCAGATAAATTAGACAGCAATGACACAGAGAGAAGCTGCAACCTATGGACCCAAATGATGTACAATGTAACGTTACTATGGAAGACTATCACGACAAATGTCTACTGTTTTACACATCTTACATACACTAAGGCCAAATGGCAGTAAGCGGCCACAAGAGTACCTCAGGTATATTCTAACTTGCAACCACACTTGGAGAACATATTCTCGCTATAAAAAAAACTAGTATGGTGGTCATATCATAGTACTGCTGGCTTTTCAACTGTTTCTACAACTTTTCCTATGATACATGTAGATCATTTTATTTGTATGCACAAACCACTCACAAAATGGTACGTTGCACGAGTCTGCAACTGTCCTGCTTGGTGAAGTCATTTTTTTATTGATACGAAGCCATCTAAAGCAGGCAAGTTGTTGAATACCTAAAAGTGAGTTGTGGATAAATTTTGCATCTACAATCAACTCTTTCTTCGTTGAGTAACAATTATCACAACCTACTAGCTCAATTGCACTGGGGTTACATTTTTAAGGTGGCTGTGTCAGTGGTATGGCTGTTGCTTTTTTGTTAGCTAGAACCTAGATATACAAATACAAATAACACATTAATGGTACCTACATGGATCTTTCCATGATGAGCTGTTGGCTGACATTTGCAACAATTATGATAACAAGTTACCTTTGATTGATATGATAAAACAACAGTTCATATTACAGAGCAAATTCACAGATTATATTGGCCAACGTGGGGTTTGCTACAACTTTATACAACATGGCGGCCTGACTTCATTTCTTCTGCTGTAACATTACAAGGTGACGGTCTCTATGCACAAGATCGCACAGCTACATACCTACAATACAACATCCTCATATACAACATTATAGTTAAAAACATCGTTCCTTAACTCTCCATTTCCATTTTTGCCCTTAAATAAACTTGGTCTCAAACTTGAGCAGATAGTTTTGTGAACATCGCTCCACTTAAGAATTCAGAACATAAAATACTTTGATAAAAACAAAATAAGGTAGTTAGTTTAACATAAAATGGCAAACCAGTCTCTTAAGTGTAATCTTAACACTTTCTAGTCTCTACAAAGCATACCATCTTCCCCCAAAGCCGCTCCATTTGCTATCCTCTCCATCAAGGTTTTAAACATTTTATATTCCTGTCTGGAGTATTTGGCTTGTAGTTCAAATACATCATGACAGATGGCGCTGCTACACAATGCACAGCAAGTCTTTTTAAAGGGTCAGACTTGCAACTGGCATTGGAGATCTTGGTACAAACAGCAACCAGTGTATCTGTGGTGGACCATACTACAAACACCCATGGGGAACAGCAACACAAATTGCTTCTCATGTCTGCAGTTCTTGTACTCCACAGTAGGGGAAGCTTCACAGCTGCAAGACTAACAGATACTACAAATCACTGGACTACAGCACAATGCTAGATATAGATGGGCTGCTCCTGTCCTGTCAATAATCTGTACATGGACTGTGGCATTGTCTTCATATGGATCTGAGGGGAAAGAAACAAACACATCATTAGCTTGATGTCAAATTGACGCCATGGTTAACTCTCTATCTTAATTCCTAACTGGTATCACGCACCACATATTACTACACATTATATACATGTACAGATCACATTACAAGGACAGATACTGTACAACCTTCCCAACAAAAATAAAAAAAATACAATTGATTTTGACTGAGCATCTCAAAGGTGGTGAATACATTACAGATTCAGAAGTAAAACATTAGCATTCTGAAGGAGTCTTTTTGCTCTATGGTTACCAGGGTAGGCAGCAGCCAGCAGGTAGAAGGTTAAACTCACCTCCCCTACTGAGTTGGCAAGCATGGACACTATCTTCTCATGTGCTGTGGCCACCACACTCTGACCATTGATCTCAATGATGCGATGCCCTACTCGGACTCCTCCCCTCTCAGCGATGCCCCCTCTCATTAAACTACAGATCTGCAGGGAACAGAAAACACATTTTGTATCTTCAGTACTACGGTACACACTGAAGTTTTGAAAATATAAAATGATGAAAACCCTCCCTCCAAAATGCAGCGAGACAATTTTTACAAAGCGCCTACGGGTATGGCAGGTGTATTTTCTTTACACTTCTACGTCAAAGTGGTCAAATTGCAAACCTGCTGAGATTCTTATATATACATGTACAGGCAGTTTGCCCAGACACTCTTTCTCTCCAAGAGTTCCTGTCTTACATGGTGTTTTTTTAAAGGCCAGATTGACAGAGAACAAGTTATGGAGTTGAGTTTTTTGTCAATTTGGCAATTTTTTTATATCTACATTGTATCGTATTTCTATTTTGGGGCATATTCTCTCATACAATTTAGAATGGGTTTTACAGCACAAATAAGAAACAGCACTTACAATGCCATTTTGAACACTGAAGCCAAGCTGGTACTTGATGTCTGGTCTCTTGACCAGGACTGTTGTGACTGGTGGACACTGCACGATGTTCAGCCGGACCTTTCCGTGGTTTTTAAGACCCTGTGAAGCACAAACTAGATTCTAGACTTTCTAAAACAGATACAACATGCATTTTTTACCTGTACATTATAACTGAATAGGATCATCTTCATTCATGACAATAATTGTTATGTTACAGCACTCTAAGCTACAAAGAACAGAATGGCTTATTGAAGACTACTGTTAACTGACAAATTGCTGTGAACTATTTCCCTTTCTATTAAAGCCAGCAAATACAGCCATTTGCTCTAGAGTATACAGTACAAATTATTAAAAATAGTGCTGTTAATACAGAATGCCCAGCATTTGGTTTGGTTTGGTTAACTATGATCTCCTTTAGTGATACATTTGTACATCACTATATAGATACAGAAGACTAAAAACAAGACTAGTGTATTTACCTTGATGATTCCCTGACAGGTGTGCAGCGGCAGCCCCACCAGACTGGTGTCGTTGATGGTCATCAGCTGGTCCCCGATGTTGAGCTTGCCTGACCTCTCGGCCGGACCTCCGTGCATCATGTTGGCAATGATGACAGTAGGGAGGATGGAGCCCCAGCCGGACTCCACTATCACAAGTCCCATGATTTCACCTTTGGGTTTGTCTATAACAACCTGGATGGGGAGAAAAAGATTGATTGAACAATCAATGTTGATGTACATGTTGTACATGTACAGTTTTACTTTGAATACAGTGTGATGTATTGGCTTTGGCTGAGTGTGTGTGTACGCACACCCGTGTGTGCATGCATGCATGCATGCCTGCATGTGTGCTGCTTTGTTTAGTTTGTGTGTGTGTGTTTATTTGTGTGTGTGCATGTTCAGCAATTCCCAATGCATCCTCAGTGCTAATATTTTTGCCTAGAAGGCTTTTAAAGTAAATTTCTTGTACACAAATCTGGTATGATTTGTATGAGATGCCAATCATTATCAATTAACAGAACAGGCTCTTGATAAATATGACTTGTAAGACAAAAAAAAAGAATCCTGTACCTCTTTTGCGTTTTCAGAGTTACTGAAGACCTCCAGGTCCTCGTGGAAGATCTCCTGTGAGTTGAGGATCTCCTGGTAGTCCATCTGACTCAGGTGGTCCTCCGTGATGCCATTGGCTCGCAGGAACTCCTGGTACGCCACCTGGAAGCATTGCCCGATGGACTGGGCAATCAGCTGGGCCTGAGGAAAAATGGATTGTCTGAATGAAAGTGATCTCAAACTAGTCCATCTCACTGAAGAGCTACTCTTCGATTGGTTGTGACAGATGCTATGTACAGCATAACGTACAGGCATATTGTACCAGGGAGATTCCCTAGCTCTTGTTGAGAATAAACAGGCTTAACATCAAACCCGTTAAGCTCACTGAAGAGCTACTCTTCCATTGGTCATGACAGAGAATAGCAATGCTATGTACAGCATATACAGGCATCATTGTATGGAGGAGTTTTCCCTAGCTCCTCTCGACTAGTACAATAAACAGTAGACCACAGCTTAACATCCCGCCATAAGGACTGCAACTAAGGACTGTGACCCTTTCCAGCATGCAAGTCAGGTGAGCAACAACAGATAGGATTCGAACTCTAAACCTCTTGGTCCAGTGGCAGGGTCACTAAGCTACTGGACTACACACACTACTACGCCTGAATAAGGCACATGTACATGTAAGGGAGAAGATGGACCTTGGCGTGACATGATTTCACAGATAATGTCATATGGCAACATTAGTTGACACATTAGGAGGGGAACGGATGGCTTTATAATCAGTGACAATGGTTTCTAACCTTCACGGTCCGATCCAGCCATATTTCAGCCGGTGCGGTTATGGTGTGAAAATTCTGCAGATTGGACATGAAGGTGTCTGTGCCGCACATTTACTTTTATCGCTAGGTAAGGTTATCTAAGGTACATTACATACAGAAGGACATTCTCCAAACCACTGAAACAGTTGACTGCACATACAGGACAAATTCAAGATAAAACATTTGCATACAAATGCAGAATGTTTACCTTTACATGGTCTATAGAAGACATGTAAAGACAAACCTGTATAAGTGACCATTCCTACACACCTGCCCAATGTCATCATTTTTGCTGTACTGTCCACCTGTCCATATAGACCTCTGTGTGGTCTTCTTGAGCAGTTTTGACTGTAACCTTGCAGCAAACATCAATACCAAGACAAGATCCAAAGATGGGTCTCGACTAGATGTGGAAATTACCATAAACCACATGCTATATGCCTTGACATGAACAGATAACAACATGATTGACCTGAATTTAAAATAGTGCAAGTTAATACAGTAATTGGAAGCCGTCATCCCTTATCACTGACATTATCCAGAAAATTTGTACTAGATTACTACTAGTAGATTTAAATTTGATGAACATGGTGGAAGAGGCTGCAGGAAGACAACAGAACAACAGCCAACCAAAAACATCTGACAGGTAACTCTGACTGGTTAGGCCAAATGTCTTCTAAAGGTACCTTGTTGAATGAATATACATGTAGGAACTTGAATATATGCTGCTGTTTAATGTTTGGAAATGTTAACAAATCAACACATAGGTAGCATACTTCACCCCCTCAGATTGTTGGTACCTTCTGGTAGAAACACAAACACAATTAAACAAACAGCCACAACTTGATCACCAAAAAATGATACTTCATAGACTTGCCCAATCCTAGGCCTTGACCTCCCCTGGAACAATGATTACAACATTTAATTTTGTTTTATAATACTCTAATGCTTACTTTACTGTGTGATGTAAAGAAATATGTCTCTCCACTCAATTATATCAATATGTTTTATGTACCAGAAAAGCTGTCATTACCTTAACTAAATCACACCCTAAGCCCTAATCATATCTGGAGCCTGGCCAACCTATTCTGCTCTCTATCAAAAATATGTAGTGCAGACTCCATTACATTCTCTGGCACCAATGAAAGACTTTTGTTCTTCAGCTGCAAACGGGATTGAACGTAACAATCAATAACGCAATAAAAGTAATCACTGGGCTGTACTGGTTTAAAAAATCAAGACTTTTGAAAGCTGGCCAAGACTGTCAAAGGTTACCAAATAGATGGATGTGATTTAATGCAAGTTGTGACATTTACAGCACTGTAGTTGAATCTAAAAGTATTAAAAGAATTATAAAACTTCAAAGCTCAATTCAAAGTTGGTTCCATTATTATCATCTCTAACTTCATGAACATGAAAAACAATGAGAAAGAAAAATGAAATTCTAATTGCTGCCTTAGACAAAAAAAATGAATATGGACATCAAAAGAATATCAATTCAATGTAATATTACATGTAGCTGAAACTGCTCTAGTGTATAGAACCAGAAAATATGATTACTTGTTTTCCAGTTTTTAATCTCATTTCCTCTTCCCATTTTCTCCTGTTTTTAAGAAGCCTTTTTGATCCACATCCTACCATAATGCCAAAATACTAGTACCATACAAAAGTCAGTGTATATGCATTATGATTTAACCATTCAATATCTTAATATCAACTATTCTTGCTACATGCATTAAATTTTCTTTCAAAACAGCAGAAAAGGTCCTACCACATTCTCGTACTATCCGATTCCTCCCATGTACAAAATCCAATAGTGCATTCTGTATAAATGTACACAATGTAATGCCACATACTGGAAAACATAGGAAATTAGTCTGTCTCTATCAGTTGCTGAATGGACAACATGACGTGATTATGAGATAAACATGAATAATAGTCGCACGTCCTAAACTGAAGCATTAATGAGATTCCCTCCAGACGACTACCTTGACCTACCGTGTGGCCTGCCTGTATAGGACGGGGGGAGAACTGGGGAGTCAGTCAGCTATGTCTGATATATGCCTCGGCAGCAGATGCTGATATCCTCTCCCAATGATGATGGTCTAACCCATGTCTACAGGATCGGCTTGACAGGGATGTCGGCCCTCGTACCTTCATCCGTCAGACACCAGTTTTAATCACCAGCTGCCGTTCTAGCAGGCCAAGGTGCACGGAACGTTCTCCCCTAACTCACCACACATGAGCCATCCCTCCCGACACCCAATATCACCTTGTACAAGCCTGCCATGATGAAACATTTACAACCCTTCATGGTAATCCTTCAAGAATTCCAATTCTCAAAGCCAGACCATGTTCAGATCATTTCTTCTTATCTTCAAGGTAACAAAGCAGGGCTGAAAATACCTTTTTTCTGCATAACCTGCACTTTTGCGGGTAAACTTGAAAATTATCTGCAGAAGACTAATTTTACCTGTACCACCCAATTCAAGAAGTATGGATCATACTACAACATGTTCATGAAGCATTGCCATTACGCTATTTCTTTTATACTTCAAAGGTGATAACAGTCAATGTATCATGATCAAACAAAAAGCCACATACACCTACATGTATATGTATATACATTTGTAAAAATCCAGGACATGAATAAGTTCAAGTTACATGCAGGTAGACATCAGAATACCTCCACAGCTCCAATTTTACCTGCACTACTGGGTAACCTGCATATGCATGGTGCATGTATTTCAAGCCCTGCAGAGGTAAGAAGTGTCAGGGCTACATGTACAGTATGTATGTTACTCAAGAAGGCATTTATAATTTAGTAATAATGGTCTAACTGATTATGAAAGTTTTATCAACATCAAGCTTGCACTAATGAAATTTGATGGCTGAAGGCATCATTATAATGTAAATTTGTTTCATGAAGAAACAAGAAAATGTTTGATTTAATAATACATGTATATTGACAACTGCATATTATGCAAATACATAGAGATACTCTAATCTGTACTATTATACTGCATATTCTTTACACTTAGGCATCAGAAAAAATAACAAAACATTTCTTTTACATGTACATGTATTAATTGTTATGTTTACCAATTTAAAGGAAAACATGTTGTTTTTGCTCTGTTTCTTTTTTTCCAAACAAATAAGGTCAATGACCTGAACAAGATGTCTGTCACCATGATAACTAGTATTGGGTTACATCACGTTGCAATTTTATAGCAGGAGGGATTAAGACTCCTGTCTGACCATATATTTGGATGTGTTTGAGTGCGAATATGCGAAGGTAAACATTATGCATTTGCTTTGCAAACCTTTCTAATTTAAATTTAACATTTTTGTAGATTCAAGCTCTGAAAAGAGGCAGTAAGGTATTTAACAGAATTTTGCGGACATTCTGCTTTATTCTATGTTTATGTGCACCCATTCCCAAAAACAAATTTTGAGCCTGCAGATTATAATGGCACCAGGGTTATGCAGGGCTAGTTTTCTGCATGAGGTCCTTCACTGATGTGCAGTTATGTATGTTTTATTGGACAATTACAGATAGGATCAACCTGAAGTAACCGTTTGTCTACCAACAGGGAGAAGGTTTATACACTATCGCCTTGTGCACCAAGGCCATTATTACCTGCCACAAACTTCCAACTCAACAAACTGTGCCCAATGTCTCCATTGATGAAAACATGATTGGTTAAAATTTGCAGTACAGAGATACAACATGGGAGGAGACCTAAAGCTTGCAACTGCAGAGCAACCAAATATTTTGCAAATTGCTCCAGGAATTGCTTTTTTATTACCTTCGCCAAGAAGGTTATGTTTTCAGAGGCGTTCGTGTGTGTGTGTGTGTGTGTGTGTGTGTGTGTGTGTGTGTGTGTGTCTGTCTGTCTAGTAAACACGATAACTGAGAAGCCTTTATGGATTGTCTTGATACTTGGTAGGTGGGTAGGTCTTGATGAGACCTCAAAATGATTAGATTTTGGACCCCCTAGCGGCTTGTTATGGTACTGCAGCTGAACTTCCGGTTTTGATATCTCATGATCTAGACATGCTATGGTGATGAAATTTAGATAGTAGGTAGCTCTTGTGCTGGGAGAGAAGTGACGTGAGTTTAGGCCCCCTAGCGGCTTGCTCTGGAACTGCAGGACTATCTGTTTGAATATATTCAAAAGAGAATAACTCAAGAACCGGTTGACGGATCGTCGTGATTTTTGGTATGCAGGTAGCTTACGTGATGCTTAATATAATTATGTGACAATTATGCAAATATGGATGTAATTTGCATAATTTATGGAGAAATTCTATAAATCAGCTGCATTCCATCATAGGACTATTGAATCTTGTCGCATTGGTAATTGAGAACGAGATAAACACAGGCAGATATTGATTATGTAAATGAAGACTTAATTTGCATAATTAATGAGAAAATGTTATAATTCTGTAATGATAACTGCCTGGAATTTCATACTTATGGTCTTTGAAAGTACAGTGAAGGTGAACATCATTAAACATAATGTATTCAGGACCTCATTTGCATAATTTATTAGGAAATGCTAGAATGCATTGTTTGTTAATATAAGACTGTCTTTTGGTTGAGATTATGATAAAATGATATAATTCATGAAAATTAGGTTCCTATTTCTTAAAACAGGGGGGAATAATCTAATCTATAATTTGTCAGTCATAAAGATTAACATCATTTGGCGAAGGTATGAGATCGGGGAACTCTAGTGTTTTGTGTGTTTTGTTGTCTTTTGACTTTTGTGATGTACATCATATTCCAATTATAAAATCAAGAGTCAAACAAATCCAATTTGAGTCACTCAGCAATCACCGTCCAGTGGAAAGGAGACCTTAACGAGCTCCTTCTGGCATTAATGAGCTGTTTTACATTCATCATGCTCCAAGGCATATCACACGCTTTGATAGGCAATCTTAGAAACTGAAAAATAGGGTATATAATTAATGATCAATTCACCTCAAACCATGGAGCTGGAACAATTACTAAGAAAGCAGGACCATGAAAAAAACTGAGATGCCTGTTCATGTGAAAGTAGACTAATTGCTGAAACAATAACAGGGTTAGGGATTTTTTTTTTAACTAGCAGAGATGCACATTACCTTATACCTATATACATGTACATGTATGCTTTGACTTAAAACTTGTAGGTCTCGGGTGGAAATTATCCTATTTTCCACTATTAGAATGATGGAAGAAAATATACACCAACATTTTCACAGTAAGACAGATGAAGTACCAAGAAGCCAAGTGACCATTATGGGTTTTATGGGCTTGGCTGAAAACATCTGAACAACGGAAGATAAACCATGACCAGTTTAGTACAGCCTTAAAAGAACCACCATCATCTAGCCACCTTAGCAGGCTGAGATTTTATGTACTCTTTTTCTAAAGGTACTCAATTACATGTACTTGTGTACCGTCTCCTTAATTATGTACTGCCTCCTTAGAAAAGTTTGCAAAATTATGGCAAACAAACATGGAAATGACCTGCCCCTTTCCATTCCATGCAAAGATGTACATAGCTAAAAATCAATGTGTACAAAGTGCATGTACATGTGTGGGAGTTTTGAGCACATAGAGGAAACTACTGGCAGGTGCACTGATAACTGAGCATGAAGGACAAACCTTCATCAGAAAACATCCATCACTGGTGAGTGATAAACCCACACGGAGGTCATCATATAGGACTGAGCAGTGTTGCTACTCTGTGCTGTAATAAGCGTGAAGACGCAGACAAAGATACGCTCAGGATTCCCAGCCAAGGACATCCATCACTTGCACGCCATGGTCAAGACTATTTAAGCCTTCTGTGTTCTTAACAAGCTATGCAGACACAGGAGGTAGAACACTGGAAATTCAGCACCAAGGCCAGAGCTATTACTAAATAAAGCTGAAATTACTCTCAAAGTGTACATGCACTGTAGGTTCTCATTGGTTGTCCATTCCCTAGCACCATCTTGCAGTTTACTTACTAACTGCAGCACAGTGCACCATGATTCAAGGATCAAAGGTCCACATAAGTGTTAACCAAATTTACTAAGATAAATATGTCACTTCAGCAGCGTGCAGTCACCCTAAAACATTTCTGCTCTTGTGTAAATTGGAACAGGATACAATACATTGGCATCTGTCAAATTTAACGTTATGTCATACTGTAAAGACACTAAGTCTTGCTTTTACAATAATTTTATTTTGCTGTAGGAGGGAAACAGAGATTTTTGCAGTTTGTAGTTGAAGCAACTCTCTACATATTCATTATTTTGACTGTCTTGCTGATTCAGTCTAGTACACATTGTCCCAGTAACTTCCATAAGGCAACAGACATGGCATAAACATATAGTAGCAGACAGGAAATGAGATAACCTGGGGATCTTTCTGTGTCATCAACATGCCTAGCATATGGAAATAAGGCCACACAAATTTAATTTGTTGGTTCTCTGATATTTTTAGGAAAAATCAACCGACAGGACAAAAAAAATTATTTAAACAAAGGTCTAGGCATCCTATTATAGCCCTAAATGCTGTGATAGGAGTCATGAATTTTGAACTTTCACTTAAACCACTACATTGGTAGATGGAAAAACTGTAAGAACAAGGAAGAAAATATAGTTAAAGAGTTTGACTCTTCTCAACTGTTGGGGGCAAAATATGAGCATATTTGAGTTGATTCAGAACCAGAATCTCTTTTTTTTTTGCAAATCAGAAAAAAATGAAGAGGTGAATCCAAGAGCCAACAATTTAAATTGGTCCTGGCCTAACTACAGGAACACAAGCAAACACTCACACATAGACACCGAAAACCAAACCTCTCTTCACAGATTGAGGTAACAAAGTTTCCCTTTAACTTGCACAAGAAGGCAGACAGTGTACCATGTACAAGCCACTGCGCATCTAAGGCTACATTTTCAATCCTACAACAAATTGGCTCCTGTCTCTCTCAATCAGTCTTCCACTGGCCTGCACACTGACAAACACGACTGCTTACAATTACATGTACGTAAGATGCTTCTTGATTGGCTTTTATCTACAGTTGATCTACTCAACCCCCTGCAAATGGCCCCTTTCTGGGGAAGGGTCCAGAAACTGAAAAGTTAATGGGGTTCCACTTCCCAGAAGTTCTGTCAACCATGGAAGATTGTGCAAATGAGAGGGCAGGGAGTCAGAGAGAACTGGTATTAATGCCAAACAAACCCAATTACTGGCATCTGCTGAAAAAGAAGAAATGGAAGGTCAAACTTGCAAAAATCGAACAAGGAAAAAGGTTTCCAGGCATTTTGAACATCATTAATCTGTAGTAAATCTATGATGCATGTTGGCTTTGCCAGTATCTAATTTGTACCAATTTTGTCTTTCTATATTGTATAACACATTGATTTTGTACATATAGTACAATGTAGCATCATAGTATAGCAGACACTCCACCATGCAGTACCCCCACCACCCTGACATGGGTACAAGGTACAAGGTAAGCATCACATGATAAGATGGCAATTACAGTGAGGAAACTTCCAGACATTTACACTTGATAAGAAATCAGAAATTTGATATTGGCAATTATATGTATGTGCACGTACATCAGTCTGTCATTTTACAGTGTGCTGCGCAACACTGTTAAACAGATTTGGAAGCATAGCAAATCCCCTGAAGTTCCAAACTGTCCAAGTTCATGGTATCTTTGGTGACAGATTGCCAGCCACACTTTCCCAGGAGATGGACACATGATCTTATGATCCTACTTTGAATCAGACCAAACACTGTTAAACAGATTTGGAAGCAAGGAAAACCCCCTGCAGCTCAAAGTGCCCCGGTCCACAGTTTGTTTTGGTGATAGATTACCCATTCCACTTTGCCAGGAGATGGACACAGTCCTAGGTGATCTCATGATCTCACTTTGAATCTGACAGTAGCTTTGTGTGGGATGGAGTGTTTACAGTTCAATGTTCAATGGACATACACACTGTCCAGGCAACTGGAATTAGGATCAAATCTTGATTAGCTACATTGCTTTTGCCTCACCCTCAGGAAATAAATGTTCATTAAATCGAGTAACCTCTTCATCAGTCCAACATCTCAAAAAAAGACAAATAAAACTTCTCAACAGCTGCTGACATTAGCAGTGCCTTACCTCCTCTGCCTCGAAGACATGACAGATGATCTTGTGCTGTTTCTTGTCCCTGTGACCTGCGGTGACCTCTGTGCCGGGTTCGTGCTGGGGTCGGGGCGGGCGTCGCCGCGCCATGATGACCAGGATAGTGCCGATGTCGGCGATGTAGGAAATGGTGCGGAGGGCGTGGTCCATCATTACCTCCTGCAGGAACAACAGCAATCAACTTGTTTGTTTGTTTGTTTGAGCCTTTGTTTATTCATGGTGGTTAGCTGGCTGCTTTTCATTGAGAAGATTACATCCTTTAGGTAAAATGAGTAATCAACTTCTCTGTATGTTTTTTTTTTAGCCTCTGTTTATGCAAGAAATAGTCAAATTGGCCAGCAGGCTGCTTGAGGTCAGTAGGGAAGAGGTTAGGGTCAGACAAAATATAACAACGTTAAGTTACATGATTGGGATCCTACCAAATCCATAAACATACTAGTACTAGTACATGTACATGTACAGAGTGTGACGTCAATGAATCAAAATGGTTTCTGAATCAAACAAGAAACTTTCAGCCTGAGAGAGAAAGAGAAATTGTAAACCCCAATGCATTATAGTTATACTGTCACCAAACTTTCCCTTCAACTGAAATATAGTTCCCATAATCTAAAGGATGCATTGCAGCTTATTGAACATTTGTCAATTTTTCTTCCTTTGCCCCATTTTTTGACAATTAAGAACTTGAACCATCAAAGAACTAAGTAATGACAAAATTGACCTAAGAGCATCCTGGTACACATATTTTTAATATGCTGTCTTTCCCAGTATCACCCCAGTAAGACCAAACTTTCCGCCAAATCAAAAGTTTTGACATACTGATTGATTGGAGGTTCAGCTAAAGTCACTACTAAGTACCCAGTATTTGTGAGAATGAAGGGGAAAATTTAAGACGGTCTTACAGGTATTTGCTGAGAGAATATAAGGCTTGAACATAAAGAAACATTGCAGCTGCAGCTTGGAGATAAGAAGAATGCATCCATCTTCTACATGCAAGTCTTCAAGTGCAAATATCAAACTTGCCCCTACTTGCAGGATGATGTTGTGTTTGTGCATGAGGATCTAAATAAAAGGGCTGCTCAAATAAATTGAAGAGATGATTGGGTAGATACAACATGGGATGATTTTCTTTTACTTATGGTCTTTAACATGTAAATATCCCTTTTTTTAACTATGAAATGAAAAAGGAAGACTGTATGAAAGAAGGTTAATGTGATCATGTCAAGGCCAATCTTTTGAGCTCCTCAGCTCAGGCATTATCTTCTTTGTATGTACAATTATCATGAATTCTTGCACAGCTTTTGTTGGTGAAACATTTTGCCTTTGGTCTATCTCAAAGTCAAGGTTCTCTTCTCATATCCTAAGCAATGCCATAGACCCCTCAGCAGGCTCTATGAGTCAGGCTTTTTGAGAGGCTTGTGATGGTGTATCAGTTCTCCATACTCCACCTCCTGCAAAAAACTGATCATGAGTACCAAGAACTGATACATCATTAGAAAAAAAATCACACGTCTGAAGCGACTGGCCAAATAGACAAATAACATTGCCAGTTGAGTCAGTCCTTTAGCCATGTTAGCAACTGCTTTTGAAGTCTGGTAGAGGCTAAGTAGAGCCTGCTAAGGAGGTTGAGCACATCTTTCTTTTTCATATCCTCTCTAATTACATCATGTAAAACTAGGAAGGAAAATCACTTTGTTTCAGAGTGAGGAGCCAGGAAAAAACATTGCAATTATGCCTGGGAGGCAGCGTTTAATGTAGAGACTCTCTCCTCATAGATTTATAGCAACTTTGCACACTTTCCCGTATAGTTCCTATGGGGCATGTTCATGTAACAATCAATTTTGTGCTTATAATGTCATGGATTTCCACCTTCACCTTGTGGATTGATTATTTCTCCTTGTCTCCTTAGATTTACCCTAAACCCACCAGTGAGACAGGATTTACCTTAAGCCTATTACACACCTAGTCAACCATGGCCTCCAAACCAACCCCAACCTACCCCAGACCATGGCTGTGAGGCAGTTGGAGGCAAGGTCGTCTATGACACATCCATGAAGGTTGTATATGTACATGTACAGACTGTAGAGCATCATACATGTACATATTGATCCTATCCTCTCAGTGAGAGGTCTGACTGAGAATTTCATTCCAGTTGCTTATTTTCTGTATAGTATTATGTAAGGTTTTACATGGATATGGCAATGGTTGGCAGTTGCTTTGCAACATTGACTTCTGGTGTTTCAAAATGAATTTAAGAACTGTGAGATCTCCATAATACCGATACTGTACATGACATTGCATACAATGGACATGTAAAATTATACAAAACCACCTCGGTTCCCTGGGTGGCCTTTTTGGCATGTTTGACTATGTATTTGTTATCTACTAGTAGTGACTTACCGACCTGATGAAACTATCCACTGAAAATTACACAAATTCCATGCATGTACCCCTGCCCCTCACCTGTGACGTCGCGTTGATGACCTGTATCTTCTCTGTGGACACAGACAGGTCAATCTCTGTACTGGGCTGTGTTTCATCTTCTGGCACCTACAAAAAGCCAAAACATTTACTTTCATCTGATACACTGTACAACATCAAGCCATGTAATATGGGGACACTTCTATGTTCTGATGCCCCTTCTGTATGTTCCTACATTCCCCTATGTTCCAATTCCCCTGCATTCTGACATACATGTACAGTACAGGCCACGAAATAAGCAACAATTTGCAAAATGTCCCGCAGAAGAGTGTGGGGTTAGGGTTGTTGGATTATAAGGGTTTCAGAACATAAGTGTATCAGAAAATATGGGTGTTGGAACATAGGGAACATGGGGGTGTCAGAACATTGGGGTGTAACCTCAAATACTGTATTTATGACTTATGATCTATAATTCAGCAATAAAGCAAGCTTGTACAGAAGAGATTGTGGAAAGTATGTTTTGAGTAACAGTAATGTATGTCCTTTTTTTAATTGTTACAGTCTTTGGCAAATGAGTTTAAAGTAGATACAGGTACGGTTTTGTGATGCAAACAACTTCAGCATCAATGTTGTAATCAAAACATTGAAAAAACAATTTTAGTATATTTTCACACAAACATAAGACACACATGTACATTGGAAGTCTAGCTAAATTGCAATCCAAGGGCAATTTTTTATTTTTTTAAATCAATATTTTGAATGCAATACTGACAAACTCATGACTCAGAAAGAGAGATTTAGAAACAGAATGATGTAAACTAAAAACTAAAATGACAAAGTCACAGGTGTCTTGTTCACTAAAACCAAAGGTAAAGAACCAATGGAGGGTACACTACATTGTATGAGGTAACATTGGCTACCTCATAAAGCCTGCTAAGGAGGCTAGCTACCAGAGAATGTATGACTCCTAAGTGTAACTACAACAGAAATAATAATGTGACTAAAACACCAGGTCCTGTAGTTTAGCTAGTGCTGGAAGAAGCAACAGAAACATTAGGAAAATAAAATCAATGGGGAAAAAGGTCAAACAGCATAGTTATATTCGAATGAAAGCTCATCTGTGTTGGTAGAATACATAGTTAAAGAGTTTGACTTGTTCCAACACAATCCGGAAAGTCAGCGATTGCATCACAAATCTGACGAAGGTTGACGGGATCAGCCGAAAATTTATGGTGAGTTCTCCTTATTGTGTTGGAACAAGTCAAACTCTTTAACTAAGCATAGTTATATGCTAGTTGTAATATGACCATACAAGGATGTGGTTAATGGTAAATGTGTTAAAAAGAAAACATGCAAGTTGAAAATAAAACAGCAAGCAGAACTACACATAATAATCCAACCTAATGTCAGCTGTAACTTAGAGATAAACTAATTAATATGATATTCCTATCTATCTATATACAGTAATGAGAAAGTTAATTCCTACTTCAGTCATTGCATAGGAATGACGCAAAGACTACTCAAGTGCATGTGTGTGAGATCAAGGAAAGATCAAATTGCTAACAGTAAAAGCGAGAAGCATGCAAAAATCATATCATTTCAAGAGACATGCATGGATTGCTTAAGATTTATGTTATGGTTTCAGGCTGCTAGTTTTCACGCATCTTTAAAAATCATTTCTGATTAGGGTGACATACAAAAAATTAAACATTAGAAAGGATGTTACATGTATCTCTGTTATGCATATATTTTGTAGGATTTTCTATATTTCCCATGGGTGTATGCTATTATAAGATCGATTTAAAAAATCTGATGAATTAAAAGGTCAGTATTGATAGTTATTAGAATTAGTGGCCTTTTACTATGTACACAGAATTCCAATTAATATTATAACGACTACAAGGTTTTCTGCATGCAATTCATCAACAGTAGAGAATCCCTACATCCATCTCTGTCTGGAGTTCACATATGGCAATTTTCAAACAGTGACACACTGGTGAGAAGGGCTTTAGTAAAATACGATTTTCCCTCAATCATTTGCAACCAGCTCTATAAAAATAAGCATAATCAAAGAATTGTGAAGACAAATCACTCTGAGCCACTACTTCGATAGACTACTCCCAAATGAAACAAATCTTAAGTAAATCGTAATGCACAACTTAACCTAAGTGGTAAGAACAACAGAAAGCATATGGCATTGCTTGTCTTTTCTACATCCTTACATAACTATATACAAGTGGAAAAAGCCTTTATATCAACCTAAACTACACTGTAAAAACCAATGACTCCATGTGAATATGACAAAATACATTTGTACATTGTACAATTATACTTCACTTTATTCTTTCATGACCTCCTAAGTTTGCATTCTGTCTACCTGTGGTAAACTCCGTTGGAAATCAGCCCAATTTGGCCCAAGGGACTTGGGTCTGATTTAGAAAATATAAAAGGGCTTTTAATAAAATAAAAAAGGGCTTTCAAAAAGAAGTTAACTGCCACATCACAACACATATACTGTATGGATCATCTACACACCACAACCTTGTGTGGAGGGCTCTTTCCTGGCGGATCATGGATCCTCTGGAGGCCGCAAGGGAGGAGGAGAGAACATGTCAGTAGCAGCTAGGTCAAAAATTACCTCCAGGGATCAGCTGTCAATCATACATGGTCATAATATGAGCTACATCCTGGGGTCAACTGTCAATCATACATGGTCAGCAAACCTTTGAAGGTCATGATACAAGGTAACCAGGGTCAACTGTCAATCATACCTCAACTGTCAATCATACATGGTCAGCAAATGTTTAAAAATCAATGTCATGATACAAAGTTAGCAAACCTTTGAAGGTCAAGGTCATGATACAAGGTACCTCCAGGAGTCAGCTGTCAATCAAACATGGTCAGGTCAGGGGTCAGTTCAACAACCCTTTGAAGCTAAGGTCAAGGTCATGATAAAAGGTACCTCCAGGGGTCAACTGTTAATCAAACATGGTCAGAAGGGCCAGTATGAGATCTTACTGAATGTATCATCTAACATGTCTAACACAATGGTTATCAAATGTGTCCATCACACAAAAATACTAGTCTGGCACAAATAGGAAGGAATAATTATTATACCAAATGCCTTTCCATATACATGTACATGTACAAATGTAGTCAGAATCATCATTCTGAAAGCAAATTTTAAAGCAAATTCAGCAATCTTCCTGCTTGCATCTAATAAGAATGGACACTTACAACATCTGAACACAAGAAATGTGTGATGGTAAATTCAGGAAAATATACATTTTGAATTTTTTGCCATGGAGCTGACTTAAAATTTATAGTTACATGATGGCATACCTCCAACTCATCAACTAGTATTGTGCTGCATCATGAGAACACCGTCCATGATGTATAATACAGTTTTCTCAAGGAGGAAAGCCTTCCATACTTTTTCATCATGTCTGCTGCAGGGTTCCTGCCAGCAGCAATCTCTGCTGCTGTATATCCAGACCCTGGCAACTCGCCACCGCCTGTGATGGGTAATCTTATTGAACACCACTGTGTATGTCCAATATCCTCGCCATGTAATCTTCAGAAACCACTGCATAGAACTAACAATGAGCTCTCTCCAGTTCCGAGTGAAAAAGAAAGGTTGTATCAAGGGAACGTGGTGAAGGGCAGGATCAGGTCAATAAAAGCATTTTCTCTTCACCATCTGTCTTCTTGAGGTTGATCAATGCTGGCTTGCAAACGCTGAGAAAAATGTGATAGTCTGAACCTCTTTTTTTTAAGTTCTCTCCTGCCTTCAAAGAGGCCACATACTTTGAAGAATGCAGGGCAGTTTTTTTACCAGCACTGATCATAGATTGTATTTCCACCACACCATCACCCCCCCCACCACCACCACCACCACCACTGTCTGTGCCTGGTTTTGTCATGGCCCAGTGCAGGTTATATTTTAGGCACAGGTAGACATCAGAAATACCTGCAGAGCTCAAATTTTGTAAGCAACAAACCTGCACAGCTAAAATTTTACCTGCATATGCAGGTGGTATTTCAAGTCCTGTTTCAGGTAAACCCTTTGGCATGCGAACAGTCGATCACATGTACAGAGTACACATGTGACAGTCTGACCATTAATACTTCAGCCAAGGCCTATCAAACACGTGCATGTAAAATTCCCACTTAGTCTAATGCATCCGGACACTTAAACCTGTCCCTCTCACACTAAATATTCCTGATCCCGGGATCAAGGGTGGCCTGCACCGTTTGTAATGGATTGAGTGTTTGGAGTCTCTCATCAGTGGTGCACTTTGTGCACAGTAGAAGGGCTTTGAACATCACAGACACCACACTCAAATGACTACTGCACATGTTCAAACAACTTACTACTTTCTGAACTCAAATGGCATCTACATACTCGATACTCTGTGTATCAAACCAGACTGCGTCCTTCGGTTTTAATCACATGTTCAAACAATTCATCCTTTCTGAAGTGAAACAGCATCTACTCGATATTCTGTGCATCGAGCTACATTGTAGGCTGCGTCCTTCAGTTTTAATAGGACTGAAATGCAAGCTGCGCATCCTGAATGTATAGACCACCATGTGCTTAATTCATGATTTAAAAGGCATGTCTATCACACCAGTCGTCAAACAGATGAGCTTCCATTTTGATGAATTTGATGAAAATCCTAGCATCTCTTATGTGCATTGTTTTCTACTTGAAATGTTTGGATCACCGATTCTAGTGTCTATACTACTTTCTGAATTATTATCCAAAATTGCTTTACATTTGTATCTTTTAGTTTAATTGAAGGAGAGTAACACCCCCTTTCTACTAAAGGCTGCTATCACGTACCACTGAGTGACCAAACATTTCACAGGATGCTAAACGAGTTTGAAAATCATGGATAAAGGACAAATCTTTCTACATTTGTATGCCTTGTTATCTCTTAAATACTTTTATATCGTATTGCATCAATTACAAAACCAAGGATCACACAAATCCAATTCTGGTCACCCAACAATTCTGGTTGCTCAGTGATTGCCATGAAGTGAAAAAGGGGGCCTAGTGAAACCAATGCATGTCTCTAGATCTAGTCCAGGAGAGAGAGAAGTGAGCAGTGTTCCACACAGAGTGCTTTAAACCCTACACAAGTTTACAGTTAGTCAAACCTCCACGTCCAGGCTGCGATACATCCCGTGGGACCATGTGTTCTTGAAACGCGGTGTTGGACTCTTCCTCTGTTCCCTGTGGCCCTGCAAACGATTCGTTTTACAAAAAAATGTTTGACATTTGGTTTTAAACCATAAGAAGGATTTTGGATTATGTTTCCACCACAGGAGCCAAGTTCGGGAGGATACAGAGGACAGATTGGTTGGAAAGTCCAGTAAAAGCGGCCACGACACACCAAGAGAACACATCACCATCCATGTAAGTCCACCAACACTACCACCACTTCTTCTCTCACATATGCAGGGCTCCACTTTTCCCTTCCTGTAGTTTGGAACCAGTATTAGTCTAAAACAGAAGAATGTCATCACCACCTTAATTGCAATGTTCTGTTCAAGAAAGTTTGCAGAAGATGAGACTTTGGTCAAAGAAATTACTTTGCCAGGAATTGGTAACAGCGAGAGAGAAAGAGCAGGTAGGCTGAAAGAGAAACATTGGTTTAGTAAGAACAGTCAACATTCATTAACAAGTTATAACACCTTGCTCAAACAGGATGATTGTATACATGTAAGTCCATCACCATGGACACGAGGAGTCCGAAGATTGTTACCTTGATTCTGCTGACAGCCTCTTGAGCTTGTAGCATGCGCACGTTCTTGGAGGGGTTACGGTCAGACCAGATCTGTGTGGAGCCCAGGTACCGGGCAGCAAAGGTGATCCCATCAATCAGGTCCTCTACCTCCTGAGGCCCTGGAAAAATTGGGAGGAAAATTGGTGATGATAACTATTTGTTCATTTATTCATTGAGATTTACCACATTTGTAGAAGGATTGACATAGCAGGTCACTATAACCTTATCAAGATGTCAACCCTGAGACCAGACTGTAAGGTTTGTTTGAACCATTCATACTGCCCAGAGTAATAATTTTAGAATACTGTAAATTAATCTACTTTTGCAGTTTTTATTTTACCATAGATTGGGAAAGGATCTTTTCATAGTGTTTAAAGTTTGGGGCTGAATCCATTCTGTAGTGCAGTAAGTCATACAAATTAGACATATTTGTAACATCATGAAGTCACACTGGACACTTCTCCTACTCTAGATTTTGGGCACGAAAACTGCAAAAATGAAACTGCTGCAAACGTTTATTGCCTACATTGTATGGTACTGAATGCAATTACAATTCAAACGGAGCTTAGATGACTTTTCCTAGCACCATCTCAAGTCAAGAGATACTGCTTCGGACATTGAAGATTTGAAAACAGCCATGGCCCACTGACAGAAGTGAAGTTCAGTGGTGCAGAGACCGAATGATGATGATGATGACAGACTACCTAGACAGTCAGTTCACGAAAATCACTGCTGCAGAGAGCATGTCATTCTTAACTTTAAGTACAAGTATCGCAGACAACAAAGCCTGCAGCTCAAGTTCAACGCCAAGACCGATGTGGCACTTCCAGAATTTCCTGACAGCACCGGTGACCCCTGCCGTAACACTCGGTACTCCTAATGGCCCCCCAGGACGTGGAACTTCAAAGCTAGCTAGCTGACACACCTCTGTGCAATTTGGGCATCCTTCCCTTGTACTACCTCATAGAACTTTCTACTCCAGACTTCAGACAACAACTGATCTTTGAAAGATAAAACTATCACAAGGCAGAAAATAAACCACTGTCTGAGTTCTCTTTGCCTGTTTCACATGGGATCTCAAACTTTACATCAATTCCGACAAGACATCCCTCACTAAAGCTGCAAAACTGTGTACTCATTTTACACCTGAGTCAAGTGAGGAAGTAAGTGTAAACTTTAAGTGCCTTTCTAAGGGCACTGCATTAGGGACTTGTTGGGGATTTGTACCCAGTACCTTTAGAGCCAACAACCATAACCACAAGACCACCTTGCCACCTGGCTGAAGAGGCAAGGGATCTAGAGGCTGCTATCCTAAATGTCTCAGACACATTACATGTACAAATGTAGATTCAACACTAATGTTAAAAGGGGAGAAACAGTACTGGTACTTTGGGATGGTTACCACTTACCAGTAACTATGTTCCTTCATCATGAACATAAACATCCATGTCGCAGATCACAATGATTGATAAGAATTTAGGCTGTTGATATATATATATTGTACTCTCTAAAATATAAAAGATTCAAGAATCTGAAAATACATGTACCAAGCCGCAATTATGCAAACACTGCAAGCTCACATAACCACATAGCACTACATGCACACAGAAATACTGATACCCTGACAATTTCAAGCATAAGGGAAGGACTACATGTCTGAAGGTCATGATGGCTTGATGTGTGGTGCAAAGTGCACATAAAGCTGTCTCAATGTCCAGAATCCCTCGCCAATGTCGTAAATGCCTCGTAAAATACGTCAAAGGAAATATCCCTGGGTATCGTAAAGACACAACTTATCATGGCATCTAAACATCTTCTGGGGAAAACATGAGAACTGATGGCTCTTTTAGCACTGGTTAGAACATCTGGTGAATCCTTGATGATAGCCCTGCCAAACTTGGGTGAACTCAGACTTGGAAATATTGAGATCTGGCTTACCTGTACATATACATGGTTCATAAACATTGCACCAAGAAGAAATCAGAGATTTCAGACTTCCGGGAAATATTTTGGGGTTTTGTGAATTTATTGGAACAACTGAAGCGATTGTATGACATACTTTGATGAGGACTTAGACAGCAACTGTGCAGGGTTGATCATGAAACCCTCGACTTTCTGAATTCCTCCATGTCCACCTCTAATTCCTGCTGGCTCCTGGCCAGATTCTGGGACCTTCAAGTTGACCTTTTTACCTCCTGTCATTCTGCCTGTCAATCTTCCTTCTACCTACATGCTGTCAACCTATTCTACATGGACAAACATACAAACAATTCCACAGACAAACTGACCCAGAACAATACTTCCTTACCTGGAAGTAATGACAAATTGTTGATTCAGAAATGACCCCAAACATTGCACCTATAACATCATGTAGTCTGATGCTGCAAACTGAACAGAAAATTACCCCCCAAATTTGATTTGTCATCCTTGTTATGATTGTTTAAGACCTTTCCTAGCTTGCAATAAGCCATATAAAAGTAAAGACTGTCATCTGAACTTCAGCAGTATGGTAGTACACATAGTCAGTCTGGTTAATTGGGCTCACCTTTTGGCCAGCTGTAAATGATACAACCCAACACTGGCACACATAATGGGCTGAGCAGGTGGCTTTTATATTGGAGGGCAAAGTTGACTCTTTATTACACAGTAAAAAGTCTCACTTATGTGAGTATTATCACATTTTACTGCATCGTTAACTTTGATGATTTAAATGGCACAGACACATGCATCAACGATACTGATAAAAAATAAAACCCCTGATAGTCATTTTATTTCTACCATAGATGTTTCCTTGAAATGCTTGCACAAAAACATTGCTTTAATCCTGACAGTTGCGATGACACTGAAATGAAATCTTTATCAGGAAATTTGTTTATTTTTGCATGGACGTAATAGTTAATGAGATTGCCTAGTAGTCTTAAAATGTAGACTGTGCTAGCTGACTATGAATTTTGACAAATCCAACTCAAGAAAGTGATATTCTTCAATCAGAGGAGCAACCTAGAGCTAGAAAAGGGAGGACTCCAGACCACTCTCAATTCAGCACTGACCTTGGTTGGGGAGTGGTCAAGAACAAAGTCATGGGAAGGTCTTGAATGTGTGACAGGGCCTTTAAGATCCAGATTTGTGTCTCAAAGATACTGCACTAAAAAGGTACAACTGAATGCAAAAGTATTTAAACAGTCACTCAACCCTACTGAAGTCAAGCAAAGCTATTACCGTTCACCAAAAGGTGATTGGAAGTCAAGGTGTCTCAGGTGACTGGAAAGCAATACCGTGTAATTCTCAGGAATGAAAAATGCAGAATACAATCTCACAAGGTGTCCCACAGACAGCCTTCACGATCAATACAGGCCGAGCTGTTCCATTTAGAACTTCCAAGGGGTGGTCAGAATGTCAACGTGACAAATAAGATCTCCATCCATTTTTAGCTCACCGAACAGCTAATCTCCCACGGTCGTGACAGAGAAGACAGATGCAGTGTACAGTATTTACATGTTCATTGTACCAGGGAAATTCCCCTAGCTCATTTTGACAAGCATAATGAACAATAGACCGTGGCTTAACATCCCGTCCAAAGGACTGTGACATTTTACAGTAGCTTACAAGTCAGGTGAGCGACAAGGCCGACAACTGCCAGGATTTGAACTCCCAACCTCTTGGTCCAGAGGCTGGGTTGCTAATGACTGTACAACACATGCTACATAAGAAAGTAATAATATATGATGGTAGATCACACTGAGGCAAAACAGCTATGCATGTTCTTTGTCTATTTCTGGAAACATGGGAAATTGGAACTGACAGTTCACTCAATAATCAATGAACGTGAACTTGAAGCAGGAAGTCAGAAATATAGTGTAATTTCCTCCTTAATATCTTTCACACGTCAGTTGTTGATGGGCCTGTCAGATAAACGTAACTCCAACATCCCCTGCAACCTACCGATTACTGACTGCTGCTGCCTTAACTGTCTCCTACAATTAGTAGGTTCATTTATTTTACAGGGACATGATTTCACAGTAGAAGGAGAAAGGAGATTTTCACAGTGTTTTAAGTTAAACTTTGTGATTGAAACAGCTCTGTAGTACAGTAGTAACATATTGGAAACACATAGTTGTGGTTATGAAGTGAGTTTGAAAATTTCTTGCGTTGGAAATTACAGTTTAAGGCCACACCAATTTAATTTGTTGGTTCTCGGATTCGCCTCTTCGTTTTTTTCTGATTTGCAAAAAAAAAAAAAAAAAGAATTCTGGTCCTGAATCAACTGAAAAATGCTCATGTTTTGCCCCAAACAATTGAGGAAAGTCCTTTTCTTCCTAGTTGTTACAGTTTTCCCATCTATCATTGCAGTGGTTTGATTAAAAGTTCAAAATTCAATGTTTAAATTTTAACCCAGCCTTTTGTGTTGACTTCATGGCTCATTTCATAGCATTTAAGCCTATAATAGGATGCCTAGACTTGTTTTTATTTTTATTTTTTTTCGCCCTGTCACTTCATATTTTTTATGAAAAAATCCGAGAACCAACAAATTAAATTGGTGTGGCCTAACCTTGCTTCATAATGGCTCCTACCAGCAGAGATGAATTTCCAAACAAAATATTCCTGGTGTACCGAATTTGCAGTGAGAGGGTCTCCACAACAGCCATGAAAAATAAAACCTGCACAATCATTTACATGTACAACAAGATTTACAGTACCACAAGTCTGTTGAACACATCGTGCAGGAAGACCCTGACAACATGGAAAATAATTGTAATCCTGTCAAGACACTGGATAGTTGAGTTCTAATTATTCCGTTTGGTGAACCAATATTCATTTATTCCAGTAACACCTGAGAAAGTCAAGGTTCTTTTCTCACGCAATGTCCTAAGCAATCAGACATCTATAGCACAACGGGAAGTAAATCCTATGGAGGACATCCTCTGCAGAATCCAAATCTAATGCAAGGGCGCAAAAGACACAGCAGACAAAAAAATAAGCCACTTCAAGTGAGCTCACATTTTTAAAACAAAGACGATTAAATTTGATAAGATTTGTAACGAGAATTAAAGCAACAAAACATGGGTCACACCTACTAAGTCTTTTATTCCTGAATTCAAGAAGTGCAGAAACTGACAGT